GACGCCGGGTGGACCCGGGGGCAGATCGACCGCGTTGGCCAGACGCCTGTCCGACGGCTGCTTCGGAGCCGAGTCTTCGTCCATCTCAAGGCCGTGGATGTGTGCCACGGGTTTCAACGCACGTTTTTGGCGACAAGTCAATGGCAGCGTTGCTTTTCTTGCTCGAAAATTCCGAAATTACGTGTGGATAGCGAAAATAAAATAGTGCAATATCCAATCGCAACATCGAAGTCATCGATGTTTTTACAATATGAGTGTTATCGATGTTCGGCATTGAATGTATCGATAGACAAAATGGGCACACCAAAAGGCGCCAATCGGTTCAAATGGAACGGTGGAATTTTAAATTGGAAGGGAATTTTTGTTTTAAATATACTTACAACCATTAAAACAATAAAATACAAAAATGTTAAGAAAAGAATAAAGGAATTTTCTAACTTGTATATAAAAAGAGTGTTTTGCAAGAGAAAACAAATTTCTGTTGGTAATGGATAGTCCAATAGAGCACCATCCATAATCCTTGGATGGTCCGTAATGGTTTCCGTGCCAAAAATTTCCCGGTTATTCCTTAATAGTGGAATAAACGTTCCTAACCGCACGGCTCTAGCCGATGCATTTTTTTGTATGATCGTTTAATGATCACAATCTTGAATATTGGCTCTATCTTATATTTTAACTCGCAAATCTTCACAAGCTGTTTTAGTAAATTTTTAAATTATTTTGTTTATATTTAATAATATTTCAAAATCTTACCGTTCTATTTTCGTCGCAACCGGCAGTCTCTATTTTGGACATTAAAAGTAGAACTGTGAAAAGTAAAGCAAGTTCTATTTCAACTTTTTTCCCCAAAAGCCCCATCAACCATTTAATACACAAAGATCCATAAGTTTTTACAAGGTTTAGGGTTAAACAATTTCTAGCTATTTAACCACTAACATTAACACTAACGTTTCAAGCCGCCATTGCTGGGCAACATGTATTTACAAATTTTAACTAAGAGCAAAAATAAATGAATATCTGTAGTCATTTCTGGTTTACTTTGAAAAAAGGTATTTAAAAACTATATAAGCATTTAAATTTTAAACAATATTGCATTGTCCTGCATTTCAATATGTTCGGAATTTCAATTTATTATTGCGCTCTGGTATTGGGATACTTTAATATTAAACAAATTAGTGATCCTTTTACTCAACTCATAAATTTTTAAATAAATATGCCATTCCAAAACACTCGGGACTTAGGTGGCGTTAGCGACATGACCGACAATTCCGATTCGTGGGCGGGGCTAAATTTTGAAATAAGCGATGCATAGTCATCTGCATGTTAAATCCCCAATTTTTGCCTTTTATAGGCTCCGAGATCTCTACGTTCATACGGAAATGGCTAGATCGACTCGACAAACCGAATGTTAGATACCCTAGCAACTATTGACAAATTTTAATATTCATTTTAACCTCTAAATTTCGATTTATATTCGTATAAAAACATTGAAACTATTAGGATTTTCATCTCAATTGTTCGATCGTTCCTATGGCTCTTATATGATATCGCTTTCCCAAATTGAATAAAATTAAAAACGTAATTATTAAAACATAACTATAAAATATAAAAAATAAATATAAAAGAAAATATTTTTTAATTTATTTATATTATTATATTATTTAAGATAAATAGTAGTTCAATTTTAATAAAACTTAAATCATAATTCTAACTTAATAATCCATTATTATATCTCGAAGAAGTTAAAAAAAATTAAAAACAGCTAATGGAAGCTACTTAAAAGACTAAAAAAGGAAAAAAAACTTTTTTGCGTAGAAACGGACAGGCTGGTTGCCTAAACGCAAACCAAATTGATGGTGATCAAGACCATATATACTATTTAGAGTTTGTTATTTTGTAGATTTGTGTATTGAATGAAAATATTTTTAAGATTGGCTTATATTTACAACCTTTCTACTTGGAAGTAAGATGTTTAACAAGTCGACCGACCTTTGGTCTAGATTTGTTTAATTTTTTCACTACCAATATTCAATTTTTAAAAATTAAGTATTCTAAAAGACGGAAAAAACTTACTGATATTTCAAATAGGGAACTTTGACTCATTGTCTCTTATTTAGTTTTAGTCAACGCAGATTGCAGCCAAGGGCAAGCACTGTTATCTATTCTTTACACTCTCGAGTGTTTACGTAGATGCCAATTTATAAAAGCATTTTCTGGTACCAACTGCAATTTAGCATACCGTTGCAACAATGTAGCTATAAAAGGCGATGGAAGCCCCAGTTGGTCATCAGTTTGTCCCAAGATGAAGCTTCAGCTCGCCCTTACTGCACTGCTCGTGATTTCGTGTGAACTCGTCCAGGCCTACAACGGTGATGGGCAACCGGGTTGCAAGACCCAAGCGGAGCTCGACATTGCAGTTTTCCGTAACGATTGGGATCCCACTTCCTACTGGAAGTGTGAGTCACTCAACAAACCGGCCATTGAAATGAAGTGCCCCAGCGAAACCGGGTTCATGGATAGCCTCAAGAACTGCGTTAGCTGGGAGGAATGGGAGTGGGAGAAACCAGTGGCCCCGCTTAGCGAAGCGGATGAGTGACCAAATGCACAAAGCAGGAAAATTAGAACAGCAGAATGTGATTATTTATGTTGTTGAATTGAGAATAAAAACCGCGTTTGGGGGTGGCATACGCAGCAAAACAATTTTCGGTTGGTATCGGGATTAGTCGCGGGTGCGAAGACCCCAAATCGAGGTGCGCCGCGTGCCCACAGTCGGGCGGGAAACCGAACTGTGTATGAACTTGTTGATGCCCATTTTGGGCATTTGCTTCTCAAGGACCTCCATGGCGGCGTCCGACAGCATTCCAAATATGTCCAAATAGGTCAGAGAGGGCATACCCTTCAGTTCGCTGCAATCGAAATGCCATAACATGGCTTTAAATCAATAAGACGTGGTCCAGAATCGACTTACATGAATCTGGTAGCGGGAATGAGATAACAACGGGAAACGGACAAATATTCCAACATCTTGAACTTCATAATTGCCGTAATAGCTGCTGGGGTGAGGCTATTGCAGTCCGATAGATCGAGCTCCAGGAGCTGAGGGCATCGTTTCTGTAGCGATGCAACATCTAAGGAAAATAGTTGAAACTGATATTAGTGGGGATCCTGAATGCCTTGGGCGGTCACCACTTACGTGAGTCGAAAAGTACGCGACGACAGCCCGCAACATTCAGACGGATAACATTGGGGGAGATGTGAGTGACCAGCGCCGTAACAGCATCTGCACTTAGGTCAGTCCACGATATGTTTAGGCTGCTCAGATTGGTCAGAGACTCCATCATCAGACGCACACTGTTGGCTGTTAGGCCGCTGGCCATGGTTAGATTGACTGCCTCCAAGGCCTTGTTTCTGGCGATCTCCGCGCAAATGCTGTCATCCAGCTCAGTGTTCTCTAGACTTATCTTCTTCAGCTGACGGCAGTGGGACAGTAGTGTACGGAGTGAGCTTCGACTAATGGAGGCCATGCTCAAGTCGAGATATTGCAGTCGCACCCTAAAGCTTGCCGACGATGGTGCAAAGGCCGGCTCCTGGACCTGTTTAAAGGAATGAATAACTTGAATGGTCATATCCCCTGATGACAACTGGCAAATATTACTTACACTAGCCTGGGCCAGACGCATTACCAGGACTCCACGTCGCACAATTTGCTCGAGGGCGCCCGGTCGAATGGTTCGCAGACCCAGATCCAGCCTTGTCCACAAGGTCTCGTCGCGGGAGCAGCGGTTGAAGCGACGACAAACGGTGGCCATGCGCAGTAGCGTCTTCTTCGGTAGCCACTTGAAGATGTCCAGCAGTGTTTCGTCAGATAGCCGTTCAAAATAGTTGATCCCGCTGCTGATGTGGGCACTCATGGCCGGGGTGCGGTACACAAAGAAGCTGTCCGTGGGCACCAGCCGGGCGGGGATCTGTGCCAGTGAGGGCTTCTTTGCCTGCCGCACTTGCGCCAGCCTGCTGGTGGAGGGCTGAAAATTAAGCGGAGTCGCCGTCTCACTCTGGTTGTTGCAGGTGACGGCGGCCAGGGGGTTTCGCAGCCGCTTGCTGGGCGAGTTCGAGTTACTGCCGCCTTCGGTGCCCAGCGCAGAGCGCTTGGTCTGCGACAGCATCTGCAGGATCTCGGCGGGACACTGGCGGGACAGGGTATCCTCCACGGTGGCGCTGTCCAGGGTGGTGTCCGCCGAGGAGCCCAAGCTCAGGCGCTGCGGATTCTGCAGCTGGTGCGCCATGCGAGGTACACTGGCGTACGGCGTTGTCTCGTTGGAGTTGTCGTCGCTGGTGGCACTGGCACTGACCGCCAACGCGATGGCCGAGAGCGCCGACGAGCTGCTCTCCTCGGAGTCCAGCATGCCGATGCCCATCTCCTCCAGGGCCTCGAAGGTAAGTGCCGAGGGCGAGGAAGGGTGCTCGTAGTGCGACGACTTCGTGGCGGAAACTAGAGCGCCCACGGCCGAGGCGGGGTTCTTGCTGGTCGAGCGTTTTCTGCAATGGTCGGGCGGTATTAATTAAAAGTGCACAGCTAGGCAGTGCATCATCAGCACGGGTGCATGGGTCAAGCACCCATCAATTGAATACAAATACAATACTTTCTTGACCTCGTTTGGCCAACTTGTGAAACGTGTGACGTCACGGGAGCAGTAAGTTATATGTTTTTTTTTTTTGGCTACCAGCGCAATAGGGCCATGTATTACCTGGTGACGGGGCACAGATTTTCCATGTTCTCAGAGCCTCTGTGCTTGCGGCCACTCATATTTCACAAAAAAATTACTCTTAATTCCCCGCCGTACAGACAAAAATTTCGCGCTATTTTTGTGGGGTGGCAGGGTTGTCGCCACTCTGATAGTTTGTTATCTAAACGATATCGTTATCGAAACAAAACGCAGTTTCGCCCGTGTTGCCAGATCGGTGTCCCGATAAGTGAGACCGTATGCGTGAAGGCTCAAAATCCGTAGAGACTTGCCAGCCCGAGACAAATAACAAAGGCAAAACCGTTTCGTACAATTGTACAACAATAAATTGTTCGATAAACAAAGAGCCTGCTTGTAATTGCTACCGTCCACTGAATAGGAAAGAGGTAAGAAACGAATCAAAAAGAGGCCACTGGACTTCGTGCTAGCACACGTATTTACCTGACTTTCTTTGTTGCAGGTGGAGTCTGGCACTGGATTGGAGATTTCTAAATGGTGAAAACAGCAACGCTCCTGCCCCTCCCACCGGTCTTTCGCGAGCACTATCAAAATGAGCATGCGCACACGTGCCCTGGTCTTCTCCACCTTCTTCGGCAGCTGCCTGGCCATCGGCCTCCTGCTGGTCAGCATGACCAGTAACCACTGGGTGCGGGCCGATCCGCGCCGCAAGAACTCCGCAGAGGCCAAGGGCGAGGTCAACTTCGGACTCTTTTACGGCAGCCAGCACCTGAACCCCGGTTTTGGCGTGCGCACCTATCCGGTTGACGGTGAGCCCACAAAATGACATGGGGAAGAATGCTAGTGACCGGAGTTTCAACTTTTGAAATTACAATTTTTTTATTATCGACAATTTGCCGTTATTAAGCAGTGAATTGTTCGTGAAAAAAAATGTTGGGCGCTCCTGTTTAAAGGTTTTTTTTAACATAGTTGATAACTTGATATCAAGTTAGAACAACTGTTTCAATAAAAAAAAAATAAAATAAAACAGGAGCGTCAAATTTGTTCCTTTCACTAATAATTTACGGATAAATAACGGCAAATTGTCGATAAGAAAAAAGTTTAAATTTCAAAAGTTGTTCTGCTAAATTTATACACATGAGTCCCTCGGTTACAAGCCAATTATCTTTGGAGGAAGAGCAAATCCTTTAATTTCCTTGGAAGATTATTCAGTTTCTTCCGTTGACATATATCAGGGGTGCTCAAAACTGCCTTATGGCAGTGCATTGACAAACACATTTAAAAAAGATCAATTCAGTGTAGAGTCCAGGAAAAGAAATTAACAAATTTCATTTGATTTAGCCATCCAAAAAAACGTATCAATGTAATTGTCAATGCCTTGCCTCGGTCTTATCATTAAAGAATTGGGGGAAGAAACGAAAAATTGTTAGAGTATAGCTAAATGTGCCCAACAAGCTTACCTATGTACATGCCATAAGCATATGCATTTAAAAAACAATTGTGCTCCATATGCATGTTTTTTATATTCCTGGAGAAATTATTATAAAGTTTTGATATTTTTGACCAGCCTCAGCTGTTCAAATCGTTCTATCTGTTTTCACGCAAACTTGTCTCTCTAAAGCTATAACAGTTGAAAATTTAATACTTAAATACTTTACAACTCAGCAGGAATTACATTTCCTGTTAACTGAATGAAAATTAAAAAAAAAAGAGCTTGCTTTAAAAAAAAAAGAACAAAATTATTCGTCTGCGTTTTAAACGGATTATTGGTAATTATGTAGTTGAACATATGAGTGATTTAAAGGTCGTACTTAATTTAGTGTCTTATTACCCTGACTTATATATTCCCGGTGAAAAACTTGAGTTTCCAAATGACACTATCACTAACAGTATGCGGATTCCGTTATTATACCCTTGCAGAGGGTATTATAATTTCAGTCAGAAGTTTGCAACGCAGTGAAGGAGACATCTCCGACCCTATAAAGTATATATATTCTTGATCAGCATCACTAGTAGAGTCGATCTAGCCATGTCCGTCTGCCCGTCCGTCTGTCCGTCCGTCTGTCCGTCTGCAAACTAGTCTCTCAGTTTTAAAGCTATCTGCATGAAACTTTCCCAAAAGTTGTCTTTCTATTGCAGGTAGTATATAAGTCGGAACGAGCCGGATCGGACGACTATAGCATATAGCTCCCATAGGAACAATCGGAAAAATAATTGAAAAAAAATTATAACTTTGCTGTTTTTTAATTTTTTGTTTAGTTCTTCGACATATAGCAATGGTTAAATAATTCAGAATTATGGTTTAAATTTCATCAAAATCGGACGACTATAGCATATAGCTCCCATAGGAACAATCGGAAAAATAATTGAAAAAAATTATAACTTTGCTGTTTTTTAATTTTTTGTTTAGTTCTTCGACATATAGCAATGGTTAAATAATTCAGAATTATGGTTTAAATTTCATCAAAATCGGACGACTATAGCATATAGCTCCCATAGGAACAATCGGAAAAATAAATGCAAAAAAATTATAACTTTGCTGTTTTTTAATTTTTTGTTTTGTTCTTCGACGTTTAGTAATGGTTAAATATTTTCGATTAACGGTTTAAATTATATCAAAATTGGACATCTATATCATATAGCTCCCATAGAAATAATAAAAATATATAAAATAACTATCAAATAATTGAGCTGCTAATCATCATAGCTTCAATGTTTTTAAACATATACGCAGTAAATCATAATTTTAATGTTTTCAAAAATGTTAAATTCTTGCAATAGCTGCAAGGGTATATGAACTTCGGCTTGCCGAAGTTTGCTTTCTTTCTTGTTTTTAATTGGAGACTATGTATGCACCTTCACTGCACAATTTTAAAGCCGAATAGCTGCAGAAATCTAGGAAGGGTAAAGCGCATCTTCAACTATCGGTTGAGTCGCGCTCTTAGACGTATTGAAAATGCTTTTGGAATACTCAGCTGGAGGTGGCTCTGCAAAAAACTCTCAACTGCCAGCCAACCGCTGCTTTATCATTTCCTTAACAGAAATGGAAAAGTCGATTATATTAGCGGATTTGAAGAAAAGCAAACTGAAACTAATCATATATTGGCAGACCAAATGATTTTGCAAAGATTATCAGAAACCATGTATTGCCCATATAAGTTCCAACGCAGGAGCTGTGCCCTGGCAGAACCGAACAACCCTTTTTTACTTATTTTTTAATGGCATTGTCTTTGACACTCAATCTCGTAACACTAAAAGCAATAAATACTATGATATTCTTATAACCTCATGGAATATGAACCCACACCCATATTCCAATCCAGCCAAATTGTAATAACAGAATAAAAATATACTTCTGTCGAAAGTAAAATTGAAGTAAAATTTTACATGGGCTTTCATATAATATATTCTCGAATGCTAAACATAACTCAAAATTTTAAATGAAATATAATAAATTTCTATTCCATTTCAGTTTCATGAGATTTGTGATATATTCCGACTGAGGTGAAGGTGAATTGTATTTTAGCGAAAAATTCGAAATGAGAAACGACGAAAAGAAGTAGTTTCAATGATCTTATGCTAAAGAAAATTCAAACACCACCCAAATAGCTTGTTAAATCTGAACTAATGAGGTTAAACTTAATAACACAGGATAAACTATAAATGTTTTTTTTATGCATTCAAAGCATTTTTCAGAATTTTAGAAATATATTTTTTAATCATAAACGAAAAAGTTAAAACAAAAAACAAGGCAACAGTTTATTTGAACTAAACAGGTTAATTCTGCAGACAGTTCTGGCAGTTCTGCTTTGCTTAATTGCAGGATTTATTGCAAGATTTGCCAAATTTCAAAACGGGAAAGCTCAGAGCCCTCATAGTGATGACAGTTAAATGTTTTTGTTTAAAGTTGTATGTCTGGAATTGATGATATAGTCGTATTAAAGACTATATATTTATTTTTTTTTGCTAGACTTGTAGGGAACTTAAACATATCTTCATAAAAATAGTGGCAAGGTTTGGAACTTGATAAATCGTTTAGAAAGAGACGTGTAAAGAAAACTTTTATGCCATGGGAAGACCCTCGACTTTTGAAATAGGTATATCTGTACTACCATGCTAGGCATCATCATAGTGTTCACAAAAGAAGACCACTTTGACTAACAACATGTTGCACCTTTCTTGTCTTTCAGTTTACTCATTTGTCCGCACGGAGAACGGCGACACCAGCTTCTGGCTCTGGCTCCTCACCACCTTGGGCACAGGATTCGGTCTTTTGGCCTGCGCCGTGGCCGCCATTGCCGCCGTCCTCAAGTCGGCCTCTGCGGCCAAGAGAGGCGGCACGATGGTGCTGCTCCTGGCCGCCAACATATCCGCTGCGGGTGCACAGGTGGTGGCATTTGTGGCCTGGCTGGTGCAGTTCTACAACTACTTCACCGTCAACGTACTGCTGGCCGAGCACCAGCAGCAACACTGGTACAGCACGGGACTGGCCTACCTCGGCTATAGCTTCTACCTGGTCGTGATCTCCACCATCGTAGTGCTGGGCAACCTAGCCGTTCTGCTGTACGCCAAGCACCGGGACCTCTGCGACCGCCAACGCTTGGAGCCGCCAAGTGAGGACAAGAACAAGGCCGCCATAATGCTGTACTAGAAGCGGAGGAGTCGAATGAATCCCGAATGAACCTCAACGCCTCTGCTCGGCAAGCGGACGAGCGGCGACACCAAGTAATCTCAGTGGCTCAAAATAATTGTGCCTTACTTAAGGATGCCTTTTGCTTGCCAACAATAAGGCCCATTTTTATACTCAAATTGACGGTACATTCGCCAAGATTAGTTTAGAATTACCTTTGAACTCTCAGCTGTATACAAAACTATACCTATCAATATTTATGTACCATTGCATGTAGTCTCGAATGACGTATTTTTGTATACCCTGTATTTTCTGCCAATATTTATATACCTTTAACATGTTTACTCGAATGGCATATTTTCTGTACTCTGTATTTACTGCTACTGGCAGCCAAGTATTTTAATGTGCATATTTACAAATACAACAACAGTCATTGTTAAAAAATAGAGAACACAAGCGCTTTGTTTACTAATTGATCCATCAGATCGCCGGGTCAGCCTCCCAGGGGAAGTGGGAATTGGCAGGAGCGCACGCTACACTTCCGCATGGCATACCATGCAATCCAGCATCTCCAGGAATGAGTCAATTAAAAAAGGTATGTGTGACAGTGACTTGATGAATCGACTCAGAGTCTTGCCTTTTCCCAAACGTCACAACATCTCCAGCGTTATGGCTAAGCTGGATCCTCCTCATTGGATCGGAAACAGGCCGGACCACACGGCGAGCGCAAAATCCAAGTGTCATTGCATTCAATTTCGCAAAGAAATCAATTATCTATTCTGTCTGTGAGCCACGACGGATGTGTGTTTTTCTTTTCCGGGTCTTGGGATGCTTGTGTGGCTTGGTTTTGGGATCTGGACTCGGCACAATCGGCTGCCGATGCTGTGCCCAGATAGAGCCAATTATGTCATCATTAGTTTTGATTAGGTTTGCAGGGCTCATGTTGATGGGAATACTGCCCGGCACTTCCGGCACCACCTACTGTTTGGGCTCTTGGGTTCGCCGCCCCGCTGGGCGACTCCAGGGCGCTGTTTTGGTTGGTTTTCGGTTTGATTCCGATGACATTGCGCAATGTTGATGGACGTGTTTTTGATTGAGGCCAATCGGCAGCACCTTTCGCTGCGATAGGCAGCCGGCTACGGAGGATTCAATGCCGTCCGGCGACGATCTTCCTGGCCTGCGGCTTATCTTGGCAAACAGCTTAGTGCCATGCCATGTGTGAGGATCTGGGCAAACCAATGCCCTTATCCTATCCGTGCCTCGGCAGCATTATGCAAGACGCGGCGTCAGGATTAGGTCACAAATTGCGTATATTTGTATTCGGGCAGACGACGCAAGGATATGCTCATTAGGTCCCGGTTTCGGCTTCAGCTTCGTCTCCGTCTCCGGTCGAGATTACAGAGCGGACAATCGACTTATTAAGAGTGTTTATGCAGATAAACGCATCGTTTAGCGGGTGTCGGGACATACCCACTTTTCCGCCTAGGATCTAGGATCTAAACCTGGAAAATACGATCGCAAACTGCTAAATCCGCAGTTGGGAGTAAGAGCCTCGAGCTGGGAATCTTTAGGATGCTGTGCAAACACAATTAACTGGAAAGTCTCGTTAATCGAATGCCCAGACTTATCAATAGAAATTCCATTTCGGGGCACCACCCACGTTGAGACTGAGGCACAGACTACTCGGAACCCATACCGCTTGTTTACATCGACTTGTCCTTGGTTTTTTTTGGTTTTTTTTATAGAGCAGACCCTTCCTTGCCCATCGGGACCCCATCCTAGTCACCGGGAAAGCGTTTCGAGAACCGCAAAACACACAGTCCAAGAGAAAGCCAACAAGAGGCCAGACAAACTGTCTCCTATTCTTGTGAGGCTGTTGCTCCTGTCGCCCAATAAATTTCCCAATTAAATGGATCCTCTGACACTTTGTACAAAACGCTACTATCCCTGCCTACCCCTGCTCTGTCTCGCTCGCTCCCATTCATCCCATTCATTGGGTCGTCAAGGGGATGAGGGTTGCTGGCCCAGGGGATGAAACACTGGCTCGGCTGAGAACTGGCGCTGCGAAAAGGTAGCTACTCCATTTTTTATTCGATCCCTGGGTTTTCGCACTGCTCTGCTCTGCGCTGCTCTGCCCTGCTCTGCTCTTCATTCAATTGCTCCGGGGAACGGCTATTGTAGCATTGCGAAATTATGGCCCGTATATTTCTCTATTAGTGGCACAAAAGACATTCCAATTTCTCACTCTGGGCGCTCTGGGTGGGCAGGAGAGATAGAGATGCTGCTTGGAAAGTGGCACTGGTTGTCCTGCCAATTACCTCGATGCGAACTTTTTGCGGACCACCCGAGGATGTGTGTTTGGCCTTTTTGTGGTCATGAATGGCCAGTGGCCTACATGGCAATTGTTTCCGAATGTCAGTGGGTTATTGATAGCCAAACTACTTTCTTGTTAGGAAATAACGTCTTTCACTGCATCACTTTGTCTGCGGAACAATGCACTTTTATACGCACAAATCTGGCGCAATTGCGATTTGGATTCTTACGTTTAAATTATGAATTCCGAGAACAGATCGATATCTTGGCCAAAACATTTTGGCTAGTTCGATACCGTCAATTGGAAGAATTGCATGTTCTTGATAACAAATTTTCATTTTTACTTTTTATGTATATGTACATACATACAAAACACTAATTTATGGGCGATTGTTGAGATTTTTAGCTTGTCAGCTGTCTTTGTTAAAATTTAATCTATGAGAGCAAGCGACAACTTTAATATCCGTTTTTATGTTTGTATTTTTATGATTTGTTATTTTTATTTTAATTTTTCCAATTTTTTAAATATTTAATTTTTACCGAAACTGGAGTAAATTTATCAAATAAAAGAGGCCAAAAACTTAATTTTCCCTTCAAAAAAATACAACCATAAAAAAATGTGACCTTTTTCTAATTAGGAAGTCCAACTTCACCAGAGAACCAAAAGTGGAGCTCTGGCGTAATTTTTCCTTAATTTTGTAAGCCAGTGTAATTACAAGGGAGCTCTGACCCGTGCTAACTTCTCTTCCCCTTCCCCTTTGCCCACTCCAAGGACTCTATAAGTAAATGATGTCACGAAAAACTTGTTTGTAAAGAAAGGGAACGTTATATTAAAATAATAATTTTATAGATTTTTAATAAATGAAAATAAAGTTCAAGAGTATTTGCCTAAAAAAGTCACTTTCAATTAGTAACAATTGCTTGGATATGGAAAGTGCCACTAAATTATTTTAAAGCGTTTTTAACACATTTTTTAATGAATGCATTCAAAAACATAAAAACAAACACTTGGAAAAAGTACAAAGGGACGGGCAAGCCATCTGATTTTTAAAATATATGATTGCTTGATCAGATTTTAATGTTCTTAACAGTCAATGCTATTCTATGTATTTGAACCGGTGTATAGCTTTGTAAATGTCAAGCGAAAAAACTCAATTGAGGGGTCTACTGATTTTGAAATTGCTGATTTATTTTCCAAGTTCCTCCACACTACTTACTTGTCTAAACCAAATATACTCATACAATTTAAACAGGTCAAATTGTATTTTTTTCCTGGTAATAAGAGAAAGTTCTTTTCTAACAGATTTGGAGATCACAACACGTGCTTAAGTTTTGTACCTCAACTATAAAATAAAGACTGATGTTATATATACAGATTTTTGTAAGGCTTTTGATTCTGTACACCATTCTCTTTTTTTATTTAAATTAGATCAGCTCGGGTTTCCCAAAATTCTATTAACTTTGATTTCAAGTTATTTGAACGGAAGTGAATTCTTAGGGTTATTTAAAGGGTTATTTTTAAAAACGCTGTTTCCAATATGATTCACGTTACATCTGGGTAGTCATACGGGCCCCTTGCTATTTACTTTATTAATCAACTTCATAAGGCATTCTCGAGAACTAATGTATGCTGATGATGCTAAACTTTGTTTGTCCTATAATAATTTGTAACGTAATGGCTTTTGGTAGGGGTAAGCCTTCAATTATATGTAAGCTATTCTTTTCGCAATGTGTCATTGGACAATGATTTAAGAATAATAATTAAGAAGGATACTGACCCAAAATTAAAATTCGAATTCCACAAAAGTCTACTGTTAATAAGGCTATGAGTGTTCTTGGGTTTATTAAGCGATGGTCAAAAGAATTTGACGTTTATTATTTACTTCTCTTGTCCGTCCTAATTCAGAATATTATGCTCCCATTTGGAGTCCCCAAAATGAAGTTCACATCGATCGTATTGAGTCGGAAAAAAAAGTATATTTTTTGCTCTGCGTGTATTGAACTGGGATCAAATCGTAAGGTTGCTTTCTTACTCTAGTAGATTACTATTGCTTAATTTACTATCTCTTGTATATCGCAGAATCATGCTTGGTGCTTTTTTTCTGCACAATCCTGTCAGAGGTGATATTGACTCCATAGAATTGGCGTTTTATTAAATTTAATGTGCATTTTAGACCAACCCGCGATTACCAACCTCTTGGTCTCACATATATTTTTGGACTCCCTTTTGTGTTCTTTTTAATTATTGTAATACTCGATATATATTCCAATTTGTATTTCAACCTCTATCCCTGTTTTATCAACCCCAATTTAAACATATTTGCACCGTAAACATATAAACAAACATATAAATTTCGAATTAAATGAAATTAAGAGAAATAAATTTATATTTAAATTTTAAATTTATTCAAATCGGACTACGATATAGCTGCCATTGGAACGAACGAATAAATTATCTAAAAATTATTATAGCTTCAATCCTTTTAAGCAAATATAAATCGAAACTTAAGTGTTTTAAAAAATATTTAATTTTTGCAATATTTGCAAGGGTATTTAAATTTCAGCGAGCCGAAGCTTGCTTCTTTGCTTTGTTAAATTTGTTAAGTTAAATTTGATCGAATTGCTTCCGTTTTAGAGTCGAAATCAGAGAATAAATTTTATAATTAGTATTTCAAGCATTGGGTCGATAATGATGTAAATATTTAACTTACAAAGTTTGATTTAGATGCGTTCGTAACTGGTTTTCTAACTCATTAAGAAAGATTTTTACTTTTCACCATAGCTAACAATTTGTATATCCTTGCAGAGGGTATTATAATTTCAGTCAGCAGTTTGCAACGCAGTGAAGGAGACATTCCGACCCTATAAAGTATATACACTCTTGATCAGCATCACTAGCAGAGTCGATCTAGCCATGTCCGTCTGTCCGTCCGTTTATATGCAAACTAGTCTCTCAGTTTTAAAGCTATCTGCATGAAACTTTCGCAAAAGTTGTCTTTCTATTGCAAGTCAGAACGAGCCGAATCGGACGACTATAGCATATAGCTCCCATAGGAACAAAAATTATAACTTTGCTGTTTTTTAATGTACTTTTTTAGTTCTTCGACATAAAGTATATATTTCAACATTACGG